CCCCCCCCCCCCCCTCCAAAAAAAACTCCCAAATATCTATACATCTCTGAAAGGGTTGCTTAGGGCCTGGGCCCAAGCACAGGCAACCAGGCAGGCCCTTAATGACCGAAGTCTCTGTAAGGCAAGGCCATGATCTTCGAGGCGGAGTCCAGCAAGGTGCGCCGCGGACTCTGCGGCTTCGCGTCGATGTGGTCACAATGGGGACCGAAGGTTCCGAGGAGGCCGTTCTGGGTACTCTTGGCCACGGCACGGCAAGAGGACAAAGAGGCGAGAGAGAAGCCGCAGCGAAGACAGGCCCTACAGGCCCCATGCTCAGCCCCAGCCTGGGCTGCTGGAGGCTGCTAGAGTCTGCTAGAGGCTAGCGTGGTGCTAGCCGGGGAGGTGCATGCCTCCGTGTGCTTCGACTTGGCGCCTGAGGCAGAGTCCGAAGGCAGACTCAGAAGCTCATGCTTTTTCAACCGGGAACGTGCAGGTCGCTCGTGCCTGTGCGCGCGGCAAAAGGAAAGGCCAAAGCCACGCCTTTCATCGCACCTCTGCAGAGCTGGTTGACAACTCAGAGAACAGGCCTAGCCGCTGGCCATGCTTTCTGCAGCATGGCTCCCTGTGTCGCTATGAGTCCATGAGGTTTCAACGTCGACCGCACAGGTCGTGGCAGTCCTTCGATGCGCTATCAGGCCATGCTGACTCAGATGTGCGCTGGCTGTTGCTGTGCCGTGCGTATCCGTGCGTGTCGGGGTGCCCGGGCATTCCGCAGGGTCTCCTGCCTTCGTGGCAACCTGGACGTGGTGCCTGCCATCCAGGCTCTCTTCCAAATGTGACCAGCGTCTCCGAGCCGGGGTCCCCCCCCCTGAGATGCTGAGGTGACAACAAGCGGGGAGGGAGAAGCCGAGTGCAAGGCGAAGCGGAAGAAGCGCTGGGTTGGGCCGGGCCTCATCTTTTCCTGTCGCGGAGAGGACGAGGAGGACATCGAGGTGAGGAGCTCCCCGGTGCCGGTGCCACAAAGTGGGGAGCCCAGAGCAGAGACTAGAGCCCGACTCAGAGAGAGAGAGAGAGACAGAGCGACGCAGGTGGGTTTGGAGGAGGCGGGGTCGCACGGAATCCTGGGCTCGTGAAGGGCCCGGGCGCGGACGAGACCTGGTATGCAGCGCCCATCGAACTTGGGACGCCGCAGGTGCGAGTGCACGTGCGTGAAGAGGGGATGCGTGTGGTCCCACACGCAGGAGCCAAGGAAACCTGCCGGAAACTGCGGTGATCGAGAGGAGGCTGCTGCTGAAAGCGCAGATCCAGAGGCCTCGGACCGGCTAGGAAGCTCTACAGGGCTGTGGGAGCTGAGCTGAGCAATGTGGGCAGCATTTCAGGCCCTCTCTGCCCTGACTTTCGTGCTCCCCGCTCAGCCAATGTGCCGAAGCGTTGACTCCACCACACCGATGCACCGATGCCTGCTGATCGCATAATGCGACAATCAAACCAGGTACTGTACGTGGGCCCAAAAAACCACAGCTGGCCAAGGGGCCAAGAGAGAATGGACAGTTTATAGACATGATAGGGATAGGGTGTGATTTTTGCCTGACAAGCGCGCGCTTCCATTCCATGCCAGCCTACCAAGCAACGTCGACAGACAGTTTCCTCGCATTGTGTGCGCATGTCGACTGATGGCAGGGGAGACCTGGGTTATCGGACGACTTGTTTTGTATGTCAGTGGAAGGGCTGAAGCCACCTTCAGCGACGGTTCTGCAGTCATTCTGCATCCGCCCAATGCTGCGAAAGCAAGCTTCTTCACTTCCGATGGTCGACGACAGCGCTTGCTGTCGACATGCTCCCCGCAGTTTGGACGCGCAGAGGTCCGTGCCAAAATCATGGCGGCAGCAGCCGTGAGGGATCAATTCCACCCACATCCATCCTCGCTTTTTCCGCTGGAGTCACGTCGGAAATGCTTTGGAAAGCTGCTGAAACCGTCCGCGGCAGTGTGGCCGTCACAGGCCCCTCAATCCCGGGAGGACGGAAGTGTGGAGGTTTCATCGCTGGATGGCTCAGTACACCTGACCTTGGCCCCACATGGAAGGACCTTCGTCGTCCAGTGGCTGCGGCCCTTTGAGCTTCAGGAAGCAAAGGCGAACTCTGAGAGCCCGGAAACCTTCCTTCTGCGTAGCGAAGATCGAGCTGCTGGCCTCCATGACTGCGTCCAGCAAGTGCAGTGCTTCGCAGTGCAGGAGCCCGTGGAAGTTGCATGGGTCTACCCCCTGCTGATCTGTTTGCTTCGGCACCAGACATGCGACGAGAGAGGCGATCTCATACGAGGTCTTGCGGAGACGTTGCAGCAGTGTCAGATCCGCGGCACCGTTCTTGACAGTGGTCACTGCGTGACGGTGCCGCTTCCCAGCGTCCAACTCGCAGATGGAGCTCATGGTGGCAGCCACAGCGGCGACGACATCTCTCCTGCTGCATGTATGGGCACCTTCCGTGAGGGCCCGGTCATGCTCTCATGGACGCCACAGTCAGCCATACGACTGGGCCACAGGGAGGCCAGCGTGGAGCTTTTGGATTTGGGCTCAGAAGACTGCTCTCTCTGTGAGTCTGAGTATCGATGGGCTTTTCTGGAATCCTCGCTAAGCGGTCGCTTCTGGAAGATGGTAGCGTCAAACCTCGAGTGGCAGTTGCCCGATGTCTTCTGCGTGGATCTGCTTCCGCCCGGGCCAAGAGACTCCTTCGCCTGCCGGCTGATGGCCCTCGTCGAGGAGGCCTCCTTGTGGCTTCGCCAGAACAGCTCCGAGAGCCTGGTAGGAGCAGTGGCAGGAGCTGAGGCGATCGCTTGCAGCAAGCCAGAGCCGCCCGGGCCGCCCGGGCCGGAAGGAGCGGGACTGGCGTGGCTGCAGGAGGCGCAGCTGGAGGACGGAGGCGCGTGCCTCACAGTCTTCCGCTGCCGTGAGCGGCGGCTTGTGCGGGTGCTCTTTGCAGAGGGAGCCCGGATGGACTTCGAGCTGGAGGAGCTCTCTCCCGGCTCCAACTTCCGGCTCCTCACAAAACACGGAGAGCTGCTTCGAAGGCGCTTCGGGGAGCCCTTGGGTGCTGAGGCCGAAATGGCAGAGGCCCTGCGCCTGCTGACAAAGCTCTCGGAGACGACGGGTCGCCGTGGTTCTTTGCACGCGGAGAGGCAAAGGGCGGCCCAGGCCGCGGCCGCGGCGCTGCGGCGCACGCGGGTCTTCCTGGGCTCCCTGCCCACGCCCCAAGAGTCTGAGGCGCACAGGGCGAAGTGCAGGACGACCTGCGGCTTCAGCGACATCGGTGTACAAAGTAGGTCGTGTCGATGTTGACCTGGCAGAAGAGCTGCCGGCTCATCTCTTGGGAATAAGGGGGTCGTATGCAATAGTGTCGCACCCGGCGTAGATGCTTGGTGGGGAGCCGGCTCGCCTGACCTTGCGCGACACTGCAGCGAAAAACCGACGGCTTCGTGGGTCCTTCCGCGCTTCCCTGCCTTTGACTTTCCCAGCAGTCCTAGCATCTCGTAGCCCAGGTCGCAGATGACACGCGAGCTGCTGGAGCTCAGTGAGACGGGGCTGAACGGATGAGCAAAAAAGCTGCGCCCAAATGTCGTCATCTTGCAAGGAGACCGCAGTTTGCGTGCTTTTTTTGAACATGCTCGCAGGGACACGCGAGTTTCTGAAAGCACTGCAGATGCTCTTGGTGGTCCTCACATGCTTCTTGGACGAATGCGAACCGCTCTTGCGCTGTCCGGTCGTGCCTCTACTTTTCTCTTGAGGCCCTGCAACCTGCCTAAGTGCCATCCAGGCCCTGCCTGTGAGAAGTCTTGTGCACCTGTGGCTGCCAAGTCTGACAGGCGGACGCGTACAAGAAGTACGTGCTGCTGTGCCTTAAGGCCTCCTTGGTCTATTAGGGCTTGTTTGGTCCCGGCGGAAAGCGGATACCCCAGAGGTCGAGATCCAGCAAGCTTTACGGATCTTTAGGGAAAACCAGAAAGGCGCACAAAAACTTGTCAAAGGGAAAACGGCCAGTGGGCAGGTCACCCTGGTGCAGGTATACACGCATACATGAGTATAGGGTTTCCAGGTTCAGGGTTTCTGGATTTAGGGTTTAGGGCGCGAATGGCTAAGGGAGCATTCCATGCAGCAGACCATGCGGCAGCCTCGAAGAGGCTCAAGGAAGAACCTTCTAGGCTAGGCCTAGGGATCATGACAGTGCCAACACGCTTAGAACTGCACGCTCAGGCATATGCCGTGTACAGTCCTTTGTCACATGATCACAGGCTGAAGTCCTGTAGTAGTTGCACAACCGCAGGCTTAAGTCCTGTTAAGACAGATGCTTTGCTTGCTGTTCCTAGTAAATGTGGGCCCCTCGTATTCGAGCAAGGGTTCAGGGTTTAGGTTTTCTGGAATTAGTGTTTCTGGGCTTAGGGTTTCTGGATTCAAGGTTTACGGGTTTACCGGTTTAGGGTTTCTGGGCTCGGGTTGAGGGTTCCTGGGCTTAGGGGTTCAGGGTTTCTGGATTTGGAGTTTCTTGGTTTTAGGGTTTCGGCGTTGAGGGTTTAGGAGTTTAGGGTTTCTGGGTTCAGGGCTTCTCGGTTTAAGAGTTTTGGGTTCCTGGGTTTAGGACTTTTAGGTTCAGGGTTTCTGCGCTCTAGGTTTAAAGGACTTAGGGGCTTTGGGTTTCTGGGCACAGGGGTTTCTGGGTTTCGGTTCAGGGTTTTTAGGGGTTCATAGGGTTTCTGAGTTCATTGTTTCTGGGTTCAGGTGGGTTCAGAGGTAGTGAGTTTAGGGTTTCTGGGTTCGGGGTTTGTTGGTTCAGGGTTTAGGATTTTGGAACAAGCGCACATTGCCAGGTGCATGGCGAGGTCAAGCTGTTGCCCATTTACACCTCGCATATCCTTGTGAGGCACGGTTGTTTGGGGCTTGGGCCTTGTATTCGGCAATCTTGGCATGTGCCAGGTATTCAAAAAGCCCGAGCTATGTCCTCGACATTGCAGAGGCGGCAAAACCATGTCGACCCATCCGGCCATTTTGCAGCTTCAGCTGACTCAGGCCTTCAAGGCTTCAGACATCGCCGCGTTGCAGAGGCATCCGTGGAGATGCGCCCGTGCAACCTTGGGCTGCGGTGTTGCAGCCGTCCAGTCAGCAGGATTGTCGAAGAGAAACAGCCAGCCATCGAGGTGGGAAGCCTTGCGACTTCTTTGTGACACCTTGGACTGACTGGATGGTCAGGCAGATCAGAATCTGGGTCTGGTGAAGCAGGCCGTGACTCACTAGCTTTACGGATGTCGTGCTGAAAAGAACTGCCAGGTGCTTTCCTCCATGAGGCGGCACAAGATCCTCACCTTAACCAAGACGTGAGCCTTTGGTTAAGGGCTGCTGCCCCCAGGGTGAGTCCCGTGGCCCTGGTGGTTCGAACCGCGCCAGGTATCTGACGCTGTCGCTGGCAGAAATAGCTGCCGAGGCCTGTCCTTGCCAAGCCGGCTGCCAAGCCAAACTTTGCAAGTTCTTGGCGCTTTGGACAGGCTGGCATACAAGGCGATCATGCCGAGGCCACTGGAGCATGCTGGGATGACTGCTCCGCGGCTTCATGCTGCGACGCAGGCAGAAGCGATCCTCTTCGACATGATCTCGGAGAACGAGATCCAGGCAAAGAGAGCAGAGGAACGAGGAGGTCTCGCGATTTCATGGCCCGGAAGAAGCCCAGGCCAGGATCGACCAGCGCACCGGCAACGTGTCCTTCGAGGTGGGGCCGCAGAGAGAGGGCCCCCAATAGAAGGGCCCCCTTATAGGATCTTATAGGGGGCTGGGCTTCGCCACGCGTCGCTACACGGAAGTACACGTGCGTGGCAGAGGATGCCGAGAACCTGGACATGGACATGATGCAGACGCTCCAGGCAGATCGCAAAGCGCCCCTTTCGCAGTTCCATTTCGTGCCTCTTCCTGAGCGCATCAGGGGAAGCTTGGGCAGATCATGGAACTGTCGCAGAGGTGCGATGCTTCGAGTGGGCTTTCTGCTTATGACTTGATCTGATATCGTCTGGACGCAAGGATCAGCGGTTTCGAGCAAGAGGTGTGCCGTATGCTGACAATTCAACATTCGGCTGTGTTTTCTTTCCGGTGGGGGTGAGCATACAGGTGGTGACGAGCGAGTCCTACGTGCGAAAGACGAGCCTGCTGGACATGTCTGCAGGAGCCTCCGCATGTCAGTCGTGCAACACAGTCACGCGAGTGAACATGCTCTGTGAGAACGCCAAGCGGGCGCCATGTCCTACGACCTCATGGACATGTGAGCGACTTCAGTCGTACAGCGTCAAGAAAATGCCTGTCGCACATGCGTATGTTTCTGGAGAGGGCAGAGCCAATTCAGGAGAGAGTTTCCGCTCCTGGGCAAATCATTTGTGCATTCCATTGAGACACAGCACGGTCCTGCACATCTTTTCGGTGTTCACAGCTGTTCTCTCAAGAGGGCTTCAAGGGGGCCGGCTGTGGTTGGTGAGCCATGCAGATTTTTGTTGTGACCCAAGCTTGAACAGGCTGTTCACCCTCATCATCGTGGTTTGTCAAGTCTTGCTCTACAGGTCAAGACGCTGACGGGGAAGACCATCACCCTGGATGTCGAGGCGCGCGTGTTTCTGCGGAGCTTGCCCTCGGACAAGCTGGTAGAGTAACACTGCACTTTTCGAGGCGTCTGACACCATCGACAATGTGAAGGCCCGGACGCGATTCACTCGAGGAGTACTCCTGGGGCCCTGGGTGTGTTCTGTGAGGCCAAGATCCAGGACAAGGACACGCCCCCAAAGAAAGCTACATTGCAGTGCCTGCCTGAAGAGTTGTCACTGCGCGACTGCTACTCAGGAAGGCATCCCACCCGACCAGCAGCGCCTGATCTTCGCGGGCAAGCAGCTGGAGGCATGAGCCGCAGCGACGCCCCATTCGTTGCCTTTTTGGAGCTAACCATGCAAGGATGGCCGCACGCTCAGCGACTACAACATCCAGAAGGCGGGCCCGGGAGCCAAAAACGCTTCCGACCAACACCCCTGGCCGCGGGGCGGCCTTCGAAGCCAGGAGTCGACTCTGCACCTGGTGCTGCGCCTCCGTGGCGGCGCAAGGGGGCCCAGCCCAGGGGCAGAAAGGGAGTCACGGAGTCCCCCTTTGCCATGTCTAAGGTCATTGAGCCTTCCTTGGCGGTTCTGGCGCGAAAGTTCAACTGCGAGAAGATGGCAGGCAGCTCAGGTGATACACAGGAAGCATGACTGTGTGCGTTTGCTTGAGTCAATGGTCAACATAGGACCATCCCTTGATGATTGATGCCTTCTTGTCCGCAGATCTGCCGAAAATGCTATGCGCGCTTGCACGCCAGGCCTCAGACGGCCTGCACGTTCGTACAAGTGAGAGCCAAAGCATCCATTGCTGCCAGGGCTGTGAACTGCCGCAAGAAGAAGCTTAAGCCCCGGTGCAGCTCCCGCGGTGTCCATAGAGCCCGGGCGGCAGCAAAGGTGCGGCCATTCCAACCAGCTGCGTCCTAAGAAGAAGTTGTCGGCGCCTTACCTTGGCGGTGCCGGTGTTCGAAATGTCACGACATGATTCTGCAAATCTACATCCTCTGAGGAAGTGAGTTGCCCCCCTGCCAGTTGGAGAAGTCGAAGCCCAGGAGAGGATGCGGGGAGAAAAAGAGCGCTGTTGTTAAGAAAGATTTAAGCTACACACCTGAAATCTCGCTTAAACGACTCGCGGATCCGTCGCTGCTGGCTCAGACTCGGTCCCGGCTCTGCCATCGCCGAGGCCTGCACCGCTTATACGTTGTGGAGAGAGCCGTCTGCAAACATCTACACTCCACGCCACGGGGCGAGTCGCATCCGAGGACTCCATGGGCTGCGCCTCCTCCTCTGGCGCTGAGAGGTGCGCGAGATGCACGTAACCCTAAACCCTAAATTCCGGCCTTTCGCTGAGAGGTATGCGGGCAACCCGAGAGAGACGTCTCAGCCCGGAGCGAGCGGGGCTCCGAGCTCCTCGAGCTCCCCGGCGCGCCCAGCGGCGCCCGCCGCCTCGCCAACCTCGGCCTCTACCGCCCCGAAGGCGCGGCTTCGTGGGACGGAGGCGTCTTCCGTTTTGTGCTGTTTTCGGCGTCTCAGGCCTCTCCGAGCGGTCCGAGCGGTCCGGGCGGCCGTGGCCAGGGCCCAGAGTCGCAAGGGCAGAGCGCACGAGCTTCGTTTGAGCCTGAGGTCAGCGGAACTCGCGAGTGGTGCAGGCAGCCGGCGCTGCGGGTCTACGGCCTGAGCCTGCGGATCTGTTGGCTGCAGTCGGCTGCAGGACAACCCAGATGCTCAAGCGCAGACGGCGAAGGCGGCACCTGTCAGACGCCGAGATGCGCACAGGATCCTACAGAGTGTGAGCAGAAGGGGTAGGGACGCAGCGTCGCTCTGACGTGCACTGATCTCTTGGCTCTGCTGAGATGGTCGGCCTCCGGCAAGATTTGGACGGCGACGAAGCTCACGAGTTCTTCGTGGAGGACCCAAAGCTGCTCGGCCTGGAAAGGTCCGTCTCTTCAGCCCTCGAAGGTGTTCCCCAGACATCCGAGGACCGGTCAAATGCAGAGAGTTGTGACGAAGGACACCCCAACGGTCGAGCCTTGGCAAGGGGGTGAACCCTCGTACATGCCACACCTTTCACCCGAAAAAAGAGGCCGAAACCTGCACGTTGATCGCCTGCACCTCCTCCCGGCCCGACCAGCAAACCCTTACCCCCTCCCGACCCGGCTGCACTGAGCACCGGTTACCCGTGCCTTGCCTTCTTTTTCACAGTAGGGAGCCCTGTAAAAGCAGCTTCCGGGTGATCTTTTGCGAGTTTTGATGGCGACTCTCCGCCTGCCGCGGCAGGAGTTGGCTGAAGTGCGCTGACTCGAATTCATCCCGAGCCGCCTGGCCCTGAAATCACGGCGAAATGCCGTCGTTGCCCTTTCTTCAACGGCTGACTTCGCTCCTCGAGCTTCAAAGGGGCTCGAAAAGGAAGGGAACGTCGAGGCATTGCTGCGCTCGCAAGAGGAAGTGGGTGCTCGCAAGAGGAAGTGACTGGCGCCGCACCTCTAGCGAGCCATTGCAAGGCTTTCCGTAAGAGATCGCCCTGCTTCACGCCCAAATTCTGGCTCAAATGCTGGCTTTGCTGAGATTGCGCTTCAACAGGAGAAGTAGGGGGTGAGAGGCATGGCCTATCCAAAGGCAGAGGCAGAGGCAGGGACCCTGGGGTCTGGGGCTATAAACCGAAGGCCCGACGCCGTGACGGATCCGTGACGGATCTGTGCGCAGGCCGTTCCTGCACCGCGGAGAGTTGCCATTTACGGAGGAGTGCCTCTCCTCGGAAGCGTCGCTTCAAGCGTTTGATGGCGATCTCACACTGAGTGGCCAAGGCCTTCGACCCTCCGACGAACTCCCACTTGACATGCGCGGCAGAGATTGTGCCACGGATGTGCCTTTCGTGCAAGTCGCGTGCATCCGCAGTTGCCTCATGAGGTGCACAGCGGCTGTGCTGATGAAGTCTGGCTCGTGCCATGCGGGCCACGCCCAGACAAGCCGACACTCGGACCTCCGGGCATTCTGCCGTAAGACATGATGGGGCCTGAAGTTGCGTCGAGCCTTGGATTGCCAGAGCTGGGTCTGTGAGACCTCAGGAAGTTGAAGACGCCGGCGATCGACCGGTACTGCATGTGTCAGATAGCAGTGAACACCGTCTTCAGCCCCGATTTTCCGGTCAAGGAGCCCCGTTTCAAGGCTTTTCCTGACGCAAACCCTCGGCTCACGGCACAGGTCTCTGACGTTGACATTGGCAAAAAGATGGCTGCGTTCACGTACGATCTTCTTGTCGAACTTAAGGACTCCGTCTGTTGTTGCCAATGCTACTGGCCGACATGAGACTGACATCTGTGCAGGAGAGAAGTCCCAGCACAGAGTTTGCGCAACCCAGCCGCGAGTGTTGCCTCGACGCATGCAGCAATGCCGTGTTTGCGTCCAGGTTTGTGATCGGGTCCGACTGGCTCCAGCCAGGGACAAATCTGGCGGTGTCGTCCTTAGCCAAGCAGTCGCTGCAAGTGCGGCGGTTGTGCCTGAAAATGAGGAGTGGACGTCCCTGAATCCCGAGTGGAAGGAGGGGATGCCGGAGGCCGGGCAGACCGGAGCCGCAGAGAGCGTCCGCAGAGCCGTCGCTCGCTTCGACCGGAGCCTCTCGAGGCGCAGAGGGAGATCGTCACAGGGCACAAGCTGCTCCAAGAGCCCCGGACTCGCCCAAAAGGGGCCCGGAAAGAGCCTGAAGACATCTCTGTGCCGGAGCTCAGACGGTTCCCAGGTTCGAGTTTCTCGTCGTCCCCCGACCCGGCTATGACGTCACTAGGACCGAGGCCCATGACGGTTCCGTCCCGCATTTCTCCTGCCTGTTGCCATGTCTTTTGCTTGAGAGGCAGATCCCACCGGACTTAGGGCTTTTGGACCACGGCTTCGGTGGATGGAGATGCCGGCACGGCTCCCAGCACTTGAAGATTGGAGCACGCCCCGCATCCTTCTTACACTGTAAAGAGACGAGTAAGGAGCAGTTTCACTTCATCGAGGGCAACCTGTCTTCAACCGAGCCTTGGACAGTTACGGCTGTCATCAGCTGCACCCAGGCCTCTGAATTGTCGTCGTACCACGCTTTGCTGGATTTCGCTCTAAGGAGATCAGAACACGAACGCAGTACACGTGGCGAGTCAAGGAGGCGCTTCGGACTCCTCAATTTGTCTCCTTTGAATTCGGCTCCTGTCCAGGCTGCCAAGGGTGGCGGCCTACGAGATTGACTTTAGAGCCATAAGCGGCGGCGTTTCATGAACTTTGCAGCCAAGGTGGAGGTGCAATCGAGGGCCTAGTGCCTCCAGGTGTGCTGCCGCTTGGCGGCAAAATTGGCTTTTCTGGCGGCCCTGCCGAGCCTGACATCTGCGCTCGTCCTGCTGAGGGCTTACATCCGCCGCGGACGGCTCTACCAACCGTAAGTGCCGCGCGACCCATCGATGTCTCGTGTGCTTAGCGAGATCTGGGTCGCAAAAGGCGTGGCTTGCATCTCCCATGAACAGCGAGCCTACTTAAGCCACCTAACGCACTACTAGTCCCCTTATAAGCCCTTTCAGGGCTTGGGCTTTCGGATCAGAGCCACCTTGCGCAGCTTGGGTTCAAAAAACCTGGGCCCCTTTGCGACACGCAAAGAGAGCGCGGCGGGCGAGGATGAGGCCGGGCCGGGGCAGAGCAGAGCCTTTCTTTGCTTCAAGCCTTGAAAAATCGACGAGGCCCCTTGAGCTCACAAGCAATGAGGTGGAGATGGAGGCAGGAGCTTCGGAGCGAGGAAGTGGCCTTTAGACATTTAGACTTCTGAGTGATCAGAATGGTGCGCTGATCGAGCATCCTCCTGACATCAAGCAGCAGCGAATGTCCCGAGGGTTGCACTTTGAGCTGGAAAGTACGACGGTTTTGATGTTTTTATTCTGCTTTTCTGGGGACCGAGCCCGAGGCAGTGCCCAGCGCTGACGATAGCAGTGGGACTTGTACTCTCCGTGGTCGTTGCAGCCTGTGGCGTGGCACTTTACAACCACCAGACTCTGAAGACCATCCCGGCCAAGACGGAGTCGAATTCAGTGGCTGCCGGGCAGAGTGAAGAGTTGTCTTTTTTGTGCACGCTCTGCTTCAGTTTCCATGGTCTCTGAGAATACAGGCTATAATGATTGCGTGCTGCAACAGGTTATGCTCGCCAAGCAGGCATCGCCCCTGTCACTGGGCATCCTGGCGCTGAAAAGGGTGTGGAGAGAAGGGGAGAGTGGTGGCGCTCCGGAGGGCCGGAGGTGCAATCTGAGGACTTGGCACAGCTTGCAGGAAGGGGACTCATCACGACCAGACCATTGTGCCAAAGCATGTCAAGATCATCAAAAGCTCCAGATCGGGCTGCCTCCAAGCTTGAAGTGGTTGTTTCGGCATCTGTCGTCTGGATCTTCTGATTCCTGTCGTCAAGCTCCGCTCGACTCGCGCTTCTCGTGGCCCAGGTCTTTCAAAGTGCACCAGCATGGGCAGTGCCTGCCATGCCTGCGAGTTTCGCGAATCAGAGCAGCGGTGCGAGCTTTGGGAGGAGCAGAGCAGAGCGATGCAGAGCAGAGCGCAGAGCGATGCAGAGCCGAGCACCTCAGAGAGCGGCTTTTTCAGCGCCGAGCTCGGCTCAGGAGCCCTCGCGCGGCCATGCCTCGCTAATCTTCGAAGACATGGCGGCCGCTTTGCTGCAGATTTGAGTAAGAGCACGGCCTGGGAGTGAGCTCGCATTCAGGTGAAGGGAGTTCCAGACTTCGAGTGCTTCATCATGTCGGGGCGATGTGAGACTCTGAAAGCGCACAAGCAGCAGCTGGAGGCTCCGACACAGAAGGGGGGGGGTCATGGACCTGTAACATCCTCTTTGCGAGGAGAGCATGTCGACCTTGCTCGGTCACATCAAGGAGATGCGTTCCTGGATGCATTCAGAGCCTTGCACGACATGCCACGTTGACAGGATCACTGCATGGAGGGCCCAAGCTACGACAAGTACGACAAGTGCTCCAAGGAGCTGCGAGAAAAGCTCTGCTCATCTACTCTTTTCTGTTTTTGACTTCTCCGCGTTCAGTATTGATTGCGCCTGCTCCGTTAGGCTTTAAACTTTTGCCCAGGCATATGCAGAAAGCCTGCTCGAAGCCAACATGAGATTCTGCACGGCGATTCAGCAAAATTGCCCCGATTCGCAACGAGCTTAGCTTCACACCTTCAGTGTTTGTCTGTGCTCCAAGACAATGCGTGCAGGTCTGGCATGCAGTGTGATTAGTGCAGCTTCGTGCAAATGCGGCGAAGTCAGATCTTCTCACAGGTTTGTTTCACATGGCCAGAGATAACCAGTCCTGCCAAGCTGCATTACTTCAAGATGTTGACGAGAAAGCTCCTCGATCTCGATGACTGCATGCTTGCCTCCTGAGTTTCATGGCATTTCATGGCGGGCTGTCAAATTCAGCTGCTTCGGCGCAGAGTGCCTGCTGCATTTAGCTGCCTTACGCTTGCCGTGGGAGACCTGTCAGAGGGCAAAGGCCTGAGACTGACGGCTCCAAAAGCTCTGCGCCTGCTGCGCCTGCGCCCGCTTCGATGAGGTTCAGAGGTTTTGCGGAGTGCCTCCGATCGATGTTGAGCCTCCTCCTCCAGTGTGTGTGTGGGCTCCAGATCACAGTCGGCGTTGTTTTGGGGGGACCGCAAATAGCAATGGCTCG